TCACTGCACAGCCCATGTGAAGGCAAAGTCACACCTTTACGCTGAGAATATCATTATGGCACCACAACTGAGCCAAAAAGGATAGTTTCAAGACAGACCTACCAACTCAAAACTGGGCATCCATGAGGCATTTCAAACCATTAGCAGCAGCAGAATTGTATTCAGCACAATCTGTAACATCATGCACTGACATATCCTGCACTTTACCATTATCATCAAATCAAAGAATCTACCAAGCTACTGTGAAGAATTCAGAACCACATGTCAGGAGCAGCGCTAGACATTTCTATAAAAGTGAGGTCAACCTGATGACGCTGCAAAATAGGACAATTTGCAGTCAAAATCAAAAAAAAGCAGTATGCAACAGTCATTGTTAATCAATGCCACAACCATCAGATCCAAGTCTGTAAGCTGTCATATCCAGTTGTGGTGAAATACTCAATGACAGTAGGAAGATGCTGCATAGTAACACCCTCTGCAAAGACTGGGGAGCCCGGCACATCAGTGCAAAGGATAAGGCTGAGTAAATTTCCAACTATCTTCACCTAGAATAGTCAAGTGGATGAATCCATCTTCGCCACCTCCTAAGATTCTCAGCATCACTGATGCCAAACTTCAAGTAATTTCCGATACTCCATACAGTACTAATAAACAATGAAGATGCTCACTACTGCAAATACTATGGGCCTTGACGACATGCAGGAAATAATTCTGAAAATGGGTGTTCCAGGACTAGCCGTGTCCCCTGCAAAGATAGTCCTATTCAGCTGTAACACTGCCATCTACCCAGCAATGTAGAAAATTGCCTAGGTGTATCCAGTCCACCAAGAGCAGGACACACCCAATTCAGCCAATCATTGTCCCAAAAGTCCACTCTGAATCATTCGCAAAATAATGGACGGTATCCCTGGCAGTGCTACCAAGCTACACTTGCTCAACAGCTAGCTGCTCGCTAACACTTTGTCTTGATTCAGCCATAGCATTTCATCCTCTGACCTCATTATACCTTTGGTCAAAAATTGGACAAAAAACCTGACTCAAGAGACCTGGTCAGAGTCACTGCATGGTTTGAAAGCAGAATTTCACTAGTACGTTATCAAGGGGCCTTGTAAAATTGGAGGCAATGGTAATTAGATGGAAAGCTCTCCATTGTTTGGAGTCATCTATAACACAGAGCAAGACAGCTGCAATTTGTTGGCAGTCAATCATCTCAATCCCATGGTATCACTAGAGGAGTTCCTCAGAGTAGATATTTTTGAATCAACCCTTTCAAAGATGTTATTACACACTAATCCCAAACTATAAACATACTGGAGAGCTACTATTGACCAGAAGCTGAACAGGACTAGCCATTCAAATATGATGGCTACAGGCATGGTTAAACACGGGGAATTCTGCCATGACTAATTCACCCTCTGACTACAGGTACGAGGAATATGATGGAATTTTCTCCACTGGATGAGTTTGCCTCCAACAATATTGAAGAAGTTTATAGAATAATATTGGTGAAACACTGTTCTTCCTAGCAAACAGTCATTTAATCCTGAATGTTGCAAAGGGAAAGCTATTCGCATATCAATGTCTGTTTGTTGCTACCATTGCTGGGATTCAGTCTGGACAATTGATTTGCATTTCAGAGTAATGCTAACAATGTGGATTATTTTCCCATATCTGCTGAGGTTACCAGGAAGGATTCTCCTCCTCGATCGTTTGGTGGGGGAACCTGAGGTGAAACCACCACCAGTCATCTCGCTCTCTCATGACAGAACAGCTCAATGGTCTGGTAGGACTACGGTAACTTAATTTATAATGTAAATCCGTCTTCTATAAAACATTGGCAATGTTTAAAGTTGCTACCTAAGAACATTCTACAAACATGCTTTAATGTACAGATTACACTTAAAATGAAATGAGTATGTTATGGACATACCCTCTACTGATAAAGGTCATGCAAAGGGCATTTCTGGTGACAGATCTCCTAACAATGCATTTATTTTGCAATCTCAAAACAGAACAAGTGACCTAGCCATTTTAATCCTTAAGATTGCTTCCTTTATAATAATTTTGGAGAATGCTGTGGTAGAGAAAGATCTGTGTATTCATGAATCACGAAAGCTTAGTATGCAGGTGCACCAAGCTATTAGGAAGGCAAATGAAATATTCCTTTGTTGCAAGGGATTGGAGTATAAAATCAGAACATCTTGCTATACTGTAAAGGACATTAGTGAGACTTCACCTAGAGTACTGCACGTCTTACCAACAGAACGATATACATATATTGGAGGCAGTTTGGTAAGATTCACAAGGTTGATTCCTAAGATGGAGGTAATGTCTTATTAGGAAATATTGAGTAGTTTGGGCTCATATTCTTTGGAGTTGAGAATGAGAGGTGAACTAATTTAAACCTATATGATTCTAAGGTGACTTCAGAGACTAGGTGCTGAATGTTTCCCATCCTGGAAAAATGTAAAACTGGGGAAGTGTTTCAAAATAGGTGTCTCTAACATAAGACAAAGATGTGAAGGAAGTTTTCTCTGAGCAGACAGGAAAATAGAGTTAAGAGCAGATTAGCCATGATATTGTTGAATGGCTCCATCGGCCAATTGTCTGACTCCTGCTCCTGTGGTTTTTATGATCTTATAATTTAAAATTATGAACGTATTACGTATTAGTTTAAGAGATTACTTTTTATTTTCAAACCGTATGAATGTTGGACTATGTCCAATCCTGTAAATAAAATAGGGCCTAACAGAAGCAACAGCTTAGAATCAAAACATTACTAAATCATCAGACAGTGTACAAAGAATTAATTGAACATTAAGACTAATTGATCAGTACAAAAAGTGCTCATATCATATAGAATTAGTCATGAATGACTTCTAAAGCAACGGCACATAATGTGCACGTGTGTGTGTGCGTGTGTGTGAGTGAACAAACTCATTGGGTGTGCGTGTGAGTGATCAGACTGGTTGTATGAGTGTGTGAGTGATCAGACTGGGTGTGTGTGTGTGTGATCAGACTGGGTGTGTGTGGGTGTGTGTGTGTGTGTGTGTGAGCGATCAGACTGGGTGTGTGTGTGTGATCAGACTGTGTGTGTGTGTGTGTGTGTGATCAGACTGGGTGTGTGTCTGTGTGAGCGATCAGACTGGGTGTGAGTGTGTGTGTGATCAGAATGGGTGTGTGTGTGTGTGATCAGACTGGG